TTATGACACTATTTAGTATTCGAGATGAACGGTTTGTTAATAACATTAAGCTGAAATAACAAAAGATTAAAACTAATATTAAAAATTATTGATAGGATAAGTCAAATAGAAAACTTAGATCTATCGAGATCTTGAGAATTCGCATGGACTCTTACTCAAATACAACATAAGGCAAGTACGCAAAAAAAAGTAAGGAATGGATCCTTTTTTCCTTAACAATTCTTTCTATACCACAATCTTTCTCATTAGATACTCAACAAATAATAAAATAAAATGAAATCAAGATATGTCACGTTTTATGCACAATCGCTTAAAATAATGACTACTCGCTTAACTGAGCAACGCTTGATATGCAAATTTTCGAGTACAAAGAAAATGGCTCCCCTGATGCATTCAAATCGAGAAAGAGCTGGGTGGCAAACGCTACCGTATTAACAGAAATCATAACGTATGTGCCAAGAAGTACGGCGACCACAAGATTCGTGAGGGGCGAATAAAGATATTAAAGTATTTAAACAAAAAACAAAGCGAGACATCATCATTTAGGTGAAGTCACGTTGTTGAGACCACCACAAGGATTTAACTACCTCGGTGACAAGGAACTATTTTTTCAAGCAGTCTACGAGCCAAAATCTCAAGTCCAAAATGCGACGACTTTGTATTACTTACGACCAAATAGAAAATCTGAAGAGAAAGAGAGAAAAAAAAAGATGCCGCTCTGACTGTGCTTCCTGGATTTGAAATTACGCTACGTGGCAACAGATTGAGCCCGATTTTCTTGACCGTTGATCGTCTCACCACGATTTTCAAAGGAAAAACTAAAACCTTTTAGGCTTTTAATATACATGTCCCCCTTGCAATGTCCTTTTATGGCACATTTTTCCAACCACACAATTCCTCCTTCCATGCGACCTGAAATGTCTTTCTTGATTCGGTGGCCCTGCGTCTACGAGGTACCACATCTATGTTGTTGTACCCCACAATAGATTTAGTTGTCTTCGTTAAAAGAAAATTTATTGTTATACCTTATTTTATTTTGTTTAATTCCTTCTGAAAATTTTTTTTTTTATTCTTGATGTGTACCATAGAAGATCTTTGGAATAACAAAATATTTAAATACATATACAATTTATATGTACGAACATATGATTTTTATACACATAAATAACTAGTGGCCCTCCGTCACGGCTTTACTCGAGACTCTGATACAAGTGATTCTAGCTCTGGACAATAAATTTAATCTATAAATTTATCAGCTTAACAAAAAAAACAGCTTTTTTAAGTGATACTTTTGATGATGAAATTCATATAGATCTACTAGAAGGTTTGGATGGTACAGTCCGAGAACGTAAAAACAAAATCTTCAAGGTGCAAAAAGCTTTATATGATCAAAAAGTTATTTCTAAAAAATGTTTTGAAAGGTTCTTAAAAGCAGCATCTCAAAATAGGTGTGAGATCACATATCTTAGAATCACAACATTATCCTTGTTTACTTATCACGAGAAAGATAAAATTTTCGTTTTAATTTTATATGCCTATGATATGATTCTTGCAAGTAATAATCCTCGTTGATAAAAGTTTGTTAAAGAATGTCTGCAGCATGGATTTGAAATGACCTGATCTTAGTGAAGTAGGATCTTTTCTTGATATCGACGTCAGAACAGAGGAAGAGAAGCAAGTTCTAACATTAATTCAGACTTATTATGTAGATAAAATTCTGGTAAAATTTGGATTAAGAATGACAGAATGACTTGAAAGAGTCAAAATCAACAGAAAATGTTCCTTACCATGAGGCTGAAGGCAGTTTATTGTACGTTGCCAACACCGGAAATCCTGACGGCAGGTATGCAGTTAACTTCCTGAGTCAACATCAAATAAGTCCAACTGATGAAGATTGGAATATAATTAAACGATTATTCTGATATCTGGCAGGAACTTAGTCTGTCTGTCTCAAATATTTTAAACTGCAGTGTAATATAGAAATCTTGTCTGATGCTAGTTTTGGTGACTGTAAAGGCTCTCTGACAACAAGTGGCTATGTAATTAAACTCTTTAAAGATATGTAGTCTGAAGAATTCACAAACAGACCTACGTGTCTTTGTTAGTATTTCAGGCTATATATATAGCTTCAAGTGATGCATATAGAGAATTAACAGCAGTAAATTATTTTCTCGAAATCATACAAAGCAAAACCTTTGGTCCAGTTAATTTGTTCTGTGACAATAAAGTAGCGAAATTAAATTCAAAAACAAGTGGCATGAAAAAATTAAGGTATATGATAGATATCAACAAGCACTATGTTAAGGAACGTATGGCTTGTGGTGTGGTGAATGTTAGATGGCTGAATACTAAAAAACAAATGGCTGATATCCTTAGTTAACTCTTACTGATCGAACTCCACGAAAAATCCATAAACTAAATTACAAATAAAGTCTACAATCTTGATTTATAAGCAATGAGTTGCTTCTGTTTCTGATAAAAAAAAAGATGCCTGCTAGAACTCCATAGAAGTCAGTGCATATAAGTCTGATACAAATATCCTCACACAAACATTGACTTATGTATTCAATAGCCATGCACCCTTTCGTGCAATTAAAATAAAAAGTAAAAAACCTGCTCCTTGGCTTACTTCTAAGATTCGAGGACTCACGCTACAGAACTGAGGAGTATCACACAACATATGAATTGTTACGTAACAAAGTCAAGATTTTCATTAAAGTGCCCCTCAAAATTACCATCGTTACAAGTTCCTCGAGTGTACATCCTCTGCTGAAACCTGGAGAACTGTCAGATCTTTGGGCATCAATGGAAGAAACGACCATCCTTGTCAGCTTTCAGTCTCATTGACTGAGCTTGACAAGCATTTTATTGAACATGAGGATTCCGTGCCCCCCTCCCGCCTGCCACTATTACCAAAAATCGCCCCTGATGATCGCTTTATCAATGATATGAAACCATCAAACCAGCAAGTTTGCACACATGTTAACGGTTGGGTATCAAAGGATATACTCTATAGCTTAGAGAAATTACACCGTAAAACTATTGTACTGGTCGTGACCATGATGTGACCAGAAATGGAGTCTGTTAATGAGGTCTACTGTTCTGTACAATGTTATTCATTGTAGTCAATGAACCTTAATTTTTTCTCTATACTGGCACGATGCACAGGATGCTTAGTTTCGTCAAAAGGATGGTGTGAATAATAGGAAAAAACATAAATAAATTAATTACCTTCTCTTCTCTTGATGTACGTCGGAGAGAAAACCAGATGTGGGAAGTGTCAATTTTTGATAGGCTCAACTAGAGTAGCTCTAGCCAATTGAGTCATTATTGTCTCTTCCTCCAGATTTTTTCTTGACAAACTTTTCTACGTCGTTTTAAGCCAGCGTATGGTCAAGGTCTGCAACTTATGATAATGGGAAATTGAAGCTCCCAAAAATGGCAATTGTGTCTCAAATAGTAGACCTTATAAACATACTCCAATCCTGCCACATCATGGTCACGACCAGTACAGTAGTTTTACGGTGTAATTTCTCTAGGCTATAGAGCATGCCCTTTGATACCCAACCGTTAACATGTGTGCAAACTTGCTGGTTTCGCGGTTTCTTTTCTAGAATTGTAAATAAAAGTAAGTGAATTACACTTTATCTTTCCTTATTTTCTGATTTTTTTTTTTTCACGTACCATCGCTCTGGTGGTATAAAGATATAAATCAGGTGAGCAAAAATAAATATTTATCCTATGTTATACTTAAAGAGCTGCTATCACTGCTCAATATGACAACAGCAGCATCTATGACCACGTTGGTATAAATGTAACCATGAATCCTTCCTTTATAAACCCTAGATAGTGTATCGCTGCTCAGCATGGCACAGATAACATCAAGAATGTGACGTTTTAAGTCCTATCCTATTACGTAAAAGTGAAAAGTGTACGCTTACTTGGAGCAGTGAGGACACTGACTAATCATGCAAATTTATTAGAGGTCACCAAACTGCAAACCCCTTGTGACCATAGTGCCTCCAACTCTACTTATGACTTTGCAGATCCTGGGCTTTTAAGCACAAGCTTAGGCCCAAAGATACGTTACACCAATGTTGTCATTACTTTGAAGTTAATATTTGTTATAAGAGTAGTAGTTCTTCCAAAAATGACGTATTTTATAGTCAAAAATGGAAACTATATTAATTTCTTCTTTTCAAAACTGTTATTAACATTTTTCACTAATTATAAGCCTATTTTAGGCTTCCAAATATCTAAAATATCTAAAGTTGGATTTTTATGCAAAATCGTTTTCATTTACTGCTTAATGTAAAAAAAAATCTCTAAGTATGTCTTAAGTACATCTTCCAACAGTAGTAAAAAGTATGAGACGTTATTTTTGGTGTATAAGATCATATTTTTTATTATTATTTTGAGTTAATGCGTATCACTTTCAGGCTGAGGTTTTTATCAATATTATAAAAATATGCTTGTTCTCTTATTCTATATACGATGGAGGTATATTCACTCCTTTTATCAGAAAAAACGATCACAAGGGATCCTGAAAAACTTAAGAACTACGTAAGTTTCCTTACCAATTTAACAATTCTAAAAACATACTTGTATCCAAAGGCAAAATGGTTAGCTTGTAGCCACAGCTTTTTTAAAACTGAAAAAGTAGTGTTAGTTTTAGCTTGATATTTAAGCAAAAAAATAGTTTCATTACTAATAATTTAATAGTAAACGAAATAATGATGTTAGCAATTATTGAAATATTAATAATGTTTAGTAAAGATCTCTTACATGGAATGGAATATAAAAAAGCCTTTGTAAGTTGTGTGTTCTATGCAAAAAAAAAAGTTGTTGTAGAAAATAGTTTTATACTCACAGTCTGCAAATATTAACTCTATGGTGTGCTAAAATTAGTTGTTAGAAATGTGTAACAGAAATAGGGATGCAATATTTTATTCATAAATACACTTTCTTATACAAATAGTAACTTTGTCATTTAACTCTAGGTTTAATAACGTATACTGATGGTTCTCATGGGTTTCCACGAAATGAAGGATTTTTTCAAGATTGCAGACTCGTCCGCCGTCATAGATGCCCAGATATAGTGCAAAAAGCTCAGAAAATTTCCATGATGGCGCGCTCTCAAGCTAATTAATCAAATTTTATTCTATTAATGTTTTTAGTAGTCTATCTTTTAGAAACTGTTAATCTTGAACAACATTAATTGACTGAGTGAATTTTTTCTTTCCTTAGGTAATTTATATGCATGCTTATGCATTTATTTTTATGTAATCCAGACTATATGTCTTTGATACCTCAATAAAAATTCGCAGTTTTAGCATTGTCAACATGGTCAGTAATAAACAAGCCTAAGTATAAACATACTTGCATTATTATAATTCTTACCCTTGTAACACAAACAGAAACATGATTCAAGATGAAAAAATTCTATAATCATAATTTTTTACCTTGCAGGAGCTGTTTTTCATTTCTAAAAGTATTTATTAATGAACTAAAAAGTAGTTTTGTGTTTTTATGAATACTTTAAAAAGTGAAAAACAGCTCCTGCAAGTAAAAAATTATGATTATAGAATCGCATTATGGATCAGAAAATATCTTTGCTAACATTTACTTTTATGATGCTAGACCGTAAAAAACGTATCAATTAAAAAAAAATATCTTACCTTTACAAAGCTTGGCTAGAATAACTTAAAATAAATAATTATCAGTAAAATTTGCAGTATTAGTTTAAAATTTCCACAAAATATCTAGTACTCCTGTCCTATTATAGAAGCACATAAAAAAGCTGAAAAAATGATGTAGATACAAAGAGGGTTTCAAGCGCAGCCATAACAACAAGCTTTTAGAAACTAATACCATGTCTGCGATACCAAGTAATAAACTAAATAATGTGTAGAGAGAGGAAATAATACAAAAACTATGACGTAGTGGAATTGTACTTGTATTAAAACTCAAAAAAATATTGAGACTTAAATTATTATATAATTCGGAGGGTGAAGAGAGACACTTGGAGCTAGAAATACGTAGATATTGGAAATTCTTAAAAAAGTGAAAATTACAAGGATAGAAACCAACCTAAAGGTAGACTATTTAAAGTCAAGCAAGCAAATTTTAAAAGCAAAGTAAAAAAACTCACACGTAAACTGTGTCAAAGAGAAATAGTACATTTAGTATACAGCAATGACGATTCAAAAACTGAATTATTAGTACAAAAATATTACAAAAGATCTTTAGATCAAGATCTAATAAAAAAACTATGACCAAAACCATACAAGCTTAAAAAAGATTCAATCAAATCTGAATACTAAAAAATAAATTTAAGATTAGAAACAGATGTGTAAAAGTATAAATAGTCTCAGTAAAAACACAAATTATCAGGTACATTGTAACAAAAACATCACTGACAAAAGTGTAAGGATAAATTAAAACAATGGCGTTAAAAAAACTCAACTCTGACTTTTTTTTAAAGCTTATAAATTGATTATATGTTAATGATTATTAGCAAAGCCAAAGGTTAAGGATTAACTTTAAATAGTAATAATAACCGTCCACGATTCACTGGAGAATATATAAATAATAGTGGACTACCAACTGCAGTTTTCTTCTGTGGCATAAATTAACTTATTATATCTTGCAAACTAAATCAGCATGAAGAAGCCCAGCTTCTGGTAAAAAGATTAATGACTTATGTGACACGTAGACTATTCCCAAAAAACTTCTTTTATCATAATTTGTATTGAAAAAATTCGGACTTTGTATCAAACGATTTTTTTCTGTAAGTGGCTACTCTAAGTTTTCTATAACATCAACAAGAAAAACTAAATAATTTTTAAAAAAAGTTTATATAAGCTATGATTCTATAGACAGTTAACAAAATCATTAGTAGCCAGACCATGACAAGTAATGAATACGGAAAACCTTGTAATTCTTAAAACACAAATAAATGGACACACAATAACATTTAAAAAAATGAAGCAAGTTCAATATTAGCAAAACACATTGCTTTGATTATTGTAAAATCTAAGTTGTGGACAAAAAATCCAATGATTTTCCTAAAAAATTTATATCTACAATTGATTTTTTTAGTTACAGTATGACTGATTATATTTAGATTAACTACAATGTTTTTAAATAGTTTTTTGGTAGGGAATATACGTAATACATTGTGTACATGTTTTAAACTCAGTAAAGATTCTTAGGAAATCTACTAAGGTGACATTCTTAAACTGTTTGTTTCTTGAGTTCCTGTAAGTTGACTAATTTCTCTATTCTTAATGTGGTATTATCAAGAACTTTGCTCCAAGAATAATTTCTTCTTATGGTAAGAACAGGGGTGCTCTCAAAATAAAGTAGTGCTTGCCACCAGTGTTATGTTTAATAAAAAGGCTGTTTACAATAAGTTATGTGACACAGGTTTAATGTAAACAGAATCGGATTGATAAAATAATAAATTTGAAATATTTTTTGAGTGCCTTTGACAACAAGCTTCGAACCAAGACCTCATTTTATTAGTGTTCTGTGTAGTTAATAATTATAGAATAATGATTAATCTCATTGGTACACTCAACAGAGCACTTAGTCGAATAAAATGTTACTTTTTTAAATGGGATATTTATTTATACATGTAAATCAATTAGTTATGTCACTTACATATGGGGCATTTCATGATAGATGTCCCAGCGTGGCGCGCGAGCGCCAAAATACTCACTTTTGAGCTCACGATTGCAACCTCATAATGCATTGTAAAAAATAATGTAAATATTTAATCGACGTGCTTTTTTCTCAGCCTTCCGATCATATTATGGGTTTTCCAAAAATATGGCTGCTTAACCTAAGAAAACACAAAACGTCTTACATCTCAAAAAGGGTATTTTTAATATTTTTTTCAATAGTCCCAATCGAAAGATCAGGTTTTTTTACGTCGGATGTGATGTTTTTCTTAGCGTGGTGGAGCAATAGTTTACGAGATATAAGGTGACGAACAAGCGGCACGTGGCACCGCGCAAAACACATACATAAGGATGCTTTTACATGGACATCTTGAACTCTGGAGTTGGCAGCCAAATTTTGGGCAGGTGATTCAATTCATACTAACGATTAACTGATACTGATATAGTTTACTTTTAGACGGGAAGTAGACTCTCAATTTGCTACAAACCTGCATTGCGTAAACAAATTTTGATGTACAAAATGAATTTAGCTACAAACGGTGAAAATTTTTTTGTGAATGATTAGTCGACAAAAAGAGAGGTTGTTCCCAAAAATTTAGTCGAAACGGGAATAATGAATTATGTTTATTTTGATTCATGAATCAGTTTTGAATGCTAAATTGCAATTACATATTAAGTTGAATTACAAATAAAGTGTCTATTCTTCTTTTTAAAAAAAATTATATCAGTATCTGTTTAACGTCAGTTTGAATTGAATCCCCTGCCCAAAATTTGGCTGGCAGTCTTGAGACTTCAAGACGTCCATGTACAGTCACCCTAAGGCGAGTGTTGATATCGCAAAAACAACTTGAGTATGTATTTTTATTTTTTACTTTGTACTTACGTGAGCTAAAATTCCTGTTCATTTGTGGCTAAGATATTCGTACGCAATTTTTGAGATACCGTAAGTATATTCAACATGAGATATCATCCGTTATTATTTAGTGAAAAAAAAAATATAAGACCTTTTTTTACAGGTTAAGTATAATTTCATTGTTTACACCATGCAAAAAGCATGAACAGTTGCTTGTGTAAATCCATTAGGAAAAGAAACCGACGTTATAAGGTAAAACCTGAAGTTGTTTCCTGCAGTTTTTCGAGAAAAATATCCATCAGTGCCCCATGATGTCAGGATTTGCGAGCCGTGTAGATCAGATCTATATAAAAAAAGCCAAGACCTTGCGATTGACAATGATTTTGAAAAGGCAGGGGCCACGGTTCTCAAGCAAATAATAAATAAATTTAATGAATCGACTTCGAAACAGGACAGAATCTGCTTGCTCACACTAGCACCTACTTACTGGAGCCATTGACAACTAATGAAAGAATTTTCTTGCACTGAAAGTAAAGCAAGATAAGCTAAGGAATTTGTTTTGGAAAATGGGATTTTCACATTTCCAAAAAAATCTTCACTTAATGCTTTGTCAGTAAAAACTCAATTATTAGTAACAAATTTTTATAAGCGTGAGGATATTAGTCGAATGATGCCCGGAACAAAAGATTTTTTATCTGTGAAACAAGTTGATGGTAAGCGAGTTCACATGCAGAAGAGACTTTTGTTATGTGATTTGAACAAATGTTATGCTATATTTAAATCTGAAAATGAGGCTATCAAAATCGATTTGACAAAATTTACTCAGCTACGACCATGTTATTGTGTCTTCGCCAAAAGTAGCGATACACACATGGTTTGCGTGTGTGTTTATCAGAAAAATTTAGAATTAATGTTGCATGGAATTGACATTAAAATATTAACAAAAGATTCACGATTGCCGTTAAAAAATTATCATGACTGTGTTTGTTTGATTGTTTGTGCTACAGCAACGGATTTGTGTTTTTTAGGCGATTGTTTGGATTGTCTCAATACAAGGCCGCTAAAGGAGTTTTTACTTGAAACACTTGATTATAACAATATTTATGAGGTCAAATGTGACACATGGATGCAAGCTGAGCGATGTGCAATAGCTAGGCGAACTATGAACACTCATGAGTACTTGGATATATTAGTTGACAAAGTAATTAAATTAGAAACCCAAGATTTTATTCCCTCTAAGCAAGCAGCTTTTATAAAAAACCTGAAAGAAACTCTTGTAGATCAATAATATATAGTTTGTTTTGATTTTGCTGAAAACTATGCTTTTGTCGTTCAAAATGCAGCGCAATCATTTCATTGGAACAACAATCAGACCTCAGTATTTACAGTTGTGATTTATTACAGAGAGAAAAATGAACTGAAGCATAAGAGCTTAGCAATAACGTTGGATAATTTAGTTCACGATACAGCCGCTATTTACGAATATCAGAAACACATTATAAACTATTTGAAAAGTTATTTTAAGCCAGAGAAAATTTATTACATATCAGATGGCGCAACTCAGCATTTCAAAAATAGAAATAATTTTTTTAATCTTCTCCATCATTATGAAGAATTTAAGATTCCTGTAGAGTAGCATTTCCATGCTGCAACACATGGCAAAGAAGCTTGCGATGAAATTGGGGTCAATTTAAAACGAGGAGCAAGGCACGCAAGCCTGCAAATATACAATTTTCGAATACTAACTGCTGAAGATATGTACAATTGGGCAAATAAATTCTGCAAAAAAATGTTAGTGATTTTAAGCCCTAAATCTAATTACAATACAACTGCAGA